TGTAACAATCTGAATTTTTTAAAATAATTAGAAATAGAATAATTTTAAATTCCTATTTGAATTGCAGCACTGTGGAGAGAAGGGGGGAAAGCTGATTTTAAGCGGTTAGATGCCTTGAGATTTTGTAGAAATTTCTCATATCACTTTAGGTAATTCTAATCCTATATCTGTTTTCAAATATTTTGATTCTCCCCATAACTGTTTTTATTGCATTTTCTCTGAATTTATTAAACTTTTATCGCATAATTTTTTATATTTTATAGTATTGATTATTCAGGGCACTTTCCCTGTAATATTTGATGAATTTCATAGGAAATGTAAGTTATTGTATTTTGTACTATTTCTACTGATTGAATAACCAATATTTTTACTGTAAGCATACTGTTAATATAAGCATTAGAAAAAAATGTGGGTATGCGCTTTAGTAATAGCTGATCGCTTTTATTGTTATAGTACTATGATGATAATATGTGTGAGGACAAGTAAAATCTAGTTTCACTGACACTAACTGGAAACTGACTGACATGTACAGGATGGTGGGTCTACTAGCTTTTCTTTAAATATTATAGTTTTATGTTATATTTTAGTTATTCATGTGATACTGATTGAGAGTTATAAGGAGTTATTATTGTGCCGACGGACAAAGAGTGGCGACTCTGTTTTCTAAACCAACGGGATATTGATACTTATTACTTCTTATTGAAAAAATATCAATTAAGTCGGGACTTCTTATGCATGTTATTGAGGCATTGTTCCTATTATTTTACTACTCATGACGGTAATTTTCTTGTTCTGCGATTTACTTGACTTTTTGTGTTTTATCTAAAGAGGCTAAAACAATTAAGATTGTTGCTCACTCTATCAACTTGATCTCCTACAACAACAGTGCCGAATTGAACATACTGTACATGTACAAATCAAACTAGCTATAAATTTGAAAGTGTTATCTAGATTATGATATAACATGATTATTTGTGCAGTTTATCTAATTGTTATTTGTTTGGTTACCCATTCTACCATTGCAAGGAACTTTGAACAGCAGGTGTCCATGCTGTTTTAAAAACTCTCAGGTATCTCATCTCAATGATTAACAAACATTGGGAAATTTGAAAATTGGCCGTTAGTACCAAGCAAGAATTACTCATACTAGTGCACAGTGTTAGGCTGATGTATTATTGAACTTCGCATATGTTGTACTAGCATCAGCTGCACCATAACCCCTCACATTGAAAGTTTTGATTAGTTTTATAGCTTTTTGAGAGACAAACTGGCAGAGAAAGCAGCAAGGAAGGACCTAGAACATACACAGGTTTGTTTCATATTGATGTTTTGCCTCTTCTGAACAAGGTAGATCATTTGCAGCCTTCCTGCTAAAATGTAGCTCAGCAGTGTCTATTGCAAGGGAAGGAAAAATTATTCTGTGCGGATGCCGAACGTCATCTGTTGACCAATCAGAATGCATTATGTCACTCCTTCGCTCCATACTGCGGCTCGGTACCGCTCGGTACTACTGACATGGCTGCACATGATTCACCTCCGGACGTAGAGCTGTGTTCGGCGTCCGCATAGAATAATTTCTCCAAGGGAAGGCCCTTGTTGGAGAATGGCAGGTTGGTGGTTCCTGGTATATCTCTTAATGCAATTCCATGATCATGCCATCCTCAGAATTTGATTCATCTTGAAAAATATGTACAAAATCCTAAAAATATTATCAACTGACCTCCAAAATAGTAGAATACATTATCAGGTTTTAAGAAAAAGGAAAAAATATTTAAATATAGACTTCAAACCCAAGAAAGTATAAACAAAAGGGAGTGAAAAGAGGCCTGGAAGCAACACGAAATATAGTTGCGAAGGCAAGATTAGCAATGGCATGAATACATTGATAGCTACTTAATTGATGCCCCACCAGAAAGGTGTTGCATTGAGTGCCTCTGCCTCCTTCCATTAAATGAACTCATGAGCTTTTCCTGAACACTACAGTGCTAATAAGTATTTGAAGAATTCTGAGGCTTCCTCTATAGAACAAATTATAGCTTAAATTTTTGGTGCACTGGCTCTGTATTGTTTTGTATTGATACTAATAAAATATCAATACAGAATAATACAAAATAATGCAGAATAAAAAAAGGTACATTCTTCAGCTAACTGTCTCTTCTCAAGATCATCATGATCTTACAAACACTAAAACTAGAATTAGACATACAGATAGAAAGAAAGAAGAAAGATTGTAGATATTCTTATTTAGACATGGAAGTGTCATAATCAGTTGTGAAGTGGATTGGGGCCGGATGGAACTAGCCTCTTCTCTATCCCATACCTCTCATCGATCTCCTCGAGCGGAGGAGGCTGCGGCGGTGGCTGGAAATGTGTCGACGGCGAGCTTCTTAGCAAGAAAACACCTGAATTCTCCTTTCGACGAGCTTCTCTCGAAGCAGCCATAAAGGTCCCTGAGAGAAGGAAGATGAGCATGAAGAGAAGACAGAGAGAAGTAGTCCTTCTAATTCCTTGCATGTTCTGAGAAGGAAAAAGAAAAGGGATATAGAGAAGTGAGAAGAAAAGTAGCAATTGGTCTTTAAAAGGCCATAAGAGGGAGCCGAGGTTTGTTCCTAATTTAAGTGTGAGTAAATAAAGCTGAACTTTGTGTTAGCTTGCACAAAATGGTTGGGTTAGGAGCTAAAATGATCAGATGGATGAGAGCCTTTGATTTATATGAGATCATGATCAAGAGGTGGGGCTATGTTTTAAAGTTTTGATTAAATGGTGAAGAGAGGAGACATGTGAACTCAAGTGCTTGCAGTAATGTTAGAAAGAGAAGAACTAAATAAGTAAATAACCTAGGAACTTTATACGGCACTCAGTTCTCCCATGGCAAACCCAAAGGGTTTTTTTGCTTCTATCATTTAAGTGAAGAACTTAATACAGCTGTGATGAATTTTAGTCAAGTCTCCAGTTTTAATGTTAAGTGTTCAAGGATCTATAAGAGCTGAAATAATTGTGATTGTGTACTATATGGACATGCCCTGATGCATTTGACCTCAAGAACTAGCTCGATGGTACATGTCCGCTTGCAGCATTGTTATGTTGCTTAGGTTTTGTTTGGGATGACTTTCTTATTGCTTTTTAAATCAGCTTTCTAGTACAAAAAAAATTTTTAATTGAAAAACCGCTTTAAATAGCAGTAAGAAAGTCATCCAAACGAAAGCTTAAACTAGTACTATTGTGACCATGCCTACAGCTTGCAATTCCAAATCTTCTGGTCTCTACCTTTGTCATTATTATTGGTTGGGATTTTCCGTGACTTGGCTTGCTTGTATTTCATTCTGATTCTTTCATCAATTCATCAACTTAGACTAAATCACACAGCCCAACGTATATAGCATATCAGAACTAAACATTTGAAGGCCTATATGACCCAAACTAATCCAAAATGAATATGGTTGATTCCCAGTCTTTGTTAACTACATCCTTCTGTTAGAAATCCACAAATTTCTATGCCATTTGTCATGAAATTTACAAACGGCATAATCTCAAACATGGTGAAAATAAACTAAGGCTTCATTTGGGACGACTTTCTTACTACTTCTTAAAGTAACTTTTTAGTACAAAAATTAAAATCTGCTTTAAGAAGCAATAAAAAAACCGTCCCAAACGAAGCCTAAATCTTAGATTTTTCCGTGGATCAATTTCTTTCTTCTCTTTTGGACACAATATTCTCCTGTATCTCATTGATTTGTACATTTAGGCGACTTCGTTTGCTTGTTCTCTTTGTTAATATCAATTTAATGTATCTCAATCCAAATAGTGGCTTACATAAGAACAAATGATTTGTTGGCAATCAGTATTAATACGTTAAACTTATTATGGTTTTGTACCGTTGCTTGTATTTTTGTTTTGTCAAATTGCAATTACTTGTCTATTGGAGGACAGTTGAACAGCCAGTCTGAGGTCATTTTCCAACTAATTATGCTACTTGATGATTATTTGCTAACCCCACCGTTTCTAAAAAAATGCTGCAATTACACCTAACATACTATGAGCAGAATTTTCTCTATTACGAAAAAATCTGGTTGAACAGTTCTTCTATACCCTCTCTTAGTATAAGAACTGCACAAGAAGATGAACAATTGAAACATTCAAGATTGGAAAATTAATGTTAGCTTCAAGAAAGAAATAATAATAATAAAACTTTGTTCAGAATTGCAGGGACATATTGAACGAACAGCTGTTTAGGGCTTCGTTTGGGGCAGCTTTTTTAATGCTTTCTAAAGTAGTTTTCTGATACAAAAATTTCTAGTTTAAGAAATTTTTGTACTAAAAAACTGCTTTAAAAAAAAAATCATCGCAAATGAAGCCCAAGGCTTCGTTTGGGACGGCTTTCTTAATGCTTCTTAAAGCAGCTTTTTAATACAACAAATTTTTAAACTAAAAAATTTTGTGTTTAAAAGCTGATTTAGAAAGCAGTCTCAAACGAAGGCTAAGACTTCATTTAGGACGGCTTTCTTAATACTTCTTAAAGCAGTTTTTTAGTATAAAAATTAAATTTTTATACTAAAAAACTGCTTTAAGAAGAGGTAAAAAAGCCATCCCAAATGAAGCCTAAATCTTCAAAACTGAATCTTAAGCATTCTTCATAAATTTGAAATAGAGAGTTAAGAAAATCGATCATTAACAAGCTCATATCAAAACTATGGAGACCAATATTAATATACAATTTGATCCAATGAGTCACGCAATAATATTTTACATTGACATAACCAAATCTCAAGTGTTCACAATCAACTAAGAAAAAAATCTCCATAAAATCATTAAAAAAAACAGTAAATCCTGGTACTATAATCTCAGAACAAAAAATCAATAAAAAAATCTCTCACATGAATTCAAATAAATGGCAGATCAGTAGAACTAACAACCGCTTCTATTAATCACCTATAAAAGAATAATATGCTTCTTCAAATTAGAAAAACAACTGAAACAAGACTTCATTTCAGCGCTCTGCTTCACATCATGAATGCTGCAAATCTGCTACTTTCCTGAAAAGCTGTAAACTTTTTTTCTTCAATGCTTCTATTAGAATCAAAACTGTCACAAATTTCATAATCTGAAGCAGGAAGGTTGAGATCCAGTGAGTTCAGCTCTGAATTCTTCTGCTCAATCTCAATTACTGCCGCAGAAACAGTGGCAGCCGAAGCTGCAGAATTTCCTGCAATCAAATGTGATCTCTTATGACCACCCAGAGCTTGCCCTGAAGGAAAAACTTTTGCACAAATTGGGCACTCATAACTTCTAAATTTCTGAGAGATAAGATTTTCGGCAACCGCTGCTAAAACAGAGGAAGAATCCACTCTGATCTTTTTATGGCTTGCACAGTGGCCTCCTAGAGCTTGATAGGAATGAAAGCTTTTGTTGCAGCTTGCGCACTCATACTTACTTCTCTTGCTAAAATTCTCAATTCCAGCAGCGAAATACCTTTTTCTTGATTTCCTCGTGTTCCCAGATTCAAAAACAGAAGCAAAATTCACATCTTCCTTGAATTCAGCTTCATCATCATCATCATCTCCGATATGAAACCCAGATTCAGAAGGAAAGGGGTCAACTTTCTTGATCCCAATCTTCAAAATATCAGATTCAGATCTCTTCACCTCATTTCCGTCTGAAAAAGAGCCTGCGTCTCTCGAGAGCATCATCAGACACATGGCACCATACTCTGGTGAGGAAGGTGCCGGGGAAGAAGAAGCAGAGATTGCTTCAACCAGCTTTAATCTCATTCCCTGTCTCTTGTTTCTAGGCTCTTTGCATTCTGTTATCACCTCCAGTTCTTCTTCTTGATCATCATCAACTCCAGTGCTCCATGTCTCTTTCTCCTCCAGCTCCACATCCTCATCATCAAACCACCGCGATTTTTTCGGTTTCTCTCTGAGTCCATATCTGCTCTCCGAGCTTCCCTTGGAATTGAAGGAAGATTTGGTCATGATATGAGACCTCATATGGCCTCCAAGGGATCTACCATTGGGGAAAGCTCGTTTGCAAATTTTGCAGAAGTGCGTTTCCATGGAAAGAAACAGGGGAAGAGAGAAGGACGTGAGAGAAGAACAGATTTTACTCAAATAGGTTCTAGTAATCTGGAGAAATTCGTATCTGTCTTGTTGTTTGAATCGATCTGATACGAACACATTTGGTTTTTGATGGAAAACAATCTCACGCGTTTCAGTCCTAACTCTGCTCAGCTTCTTGTGTTCCACTGTTCGAGAGAGAGAAAAAAAAGTAAGAGCCAGCGAGCGAGAGAGAGAGAGAGAGAGAGAGAGACCGGTGGATTTCAATATTAGAGAGTTGCTTTATTTGGTGAGGAGATGATGGAGAGGAGAAATTCGTGCATGGAAGCGAAGTTAAAAGGGTGAAAAGAGTGAAGAGATGAGATAAGATGATGGCACGTGTACAATACTAAATATATCGGACGGCCTACAACAACTTTCGCGATGCGCCGATGCCTGCAGAAGCGCTGAATCGTTAGGGAAGCCGGAAGCCCTCGTAGGGGAAGGAAATTATTAAGTTGGAACCAATAATAGGCGGACAGCCAACCATAAATAAGAAAATTTGTTCGAGTTTAATTTTAATTTTTATTATTATTATTATTATTATTATTTTTGAACTGATTAAGGTAAACTCATAAACACCATATATAATGTCGGAGCCAAGATTTTTTATCGGTGGGACATAAAATTTTGAAATTAAAAATAAGCTCAAGCTTTTTCCATTTTAGCTTGAAATTGACATTATGCTTTTAATTTTATTATTATTATTAATCATAAGATGATAAATTATATGATAATGAAAAAAAAAATTATTGTAATGCTCATTTAAATTAATTTCAACACAAATTTATTTAAATTATATATTATCGTATTAATATATTTCAAACACTCTTCTACCATATGTTTTCATATCTAATTTAAATAAAAATATAACTAAAAAATATTTTACGAGCAATAAATATATAAAAAAACTATATCTTATTATTATAAAAGTATATCAAAAATATATAAATATATATAATAAGTATATTTTAAGCTACTTAATTTAATTTTAAATATTATAATTCTCCTCTAATATAATTTGTCGGCTTTATATAAATCTCCAATAAATTAGAATTTGAGTTTAAAAAAACATTTATGAAAAATTTAATTAAAAAAAACTTTGATGTGGAGATGAAGATAGAAAAATAGTCTCACCCCTCATGGAGAGAGAGAGAGAGATACAGAGAGCAAGAGAGGCTAGTGGAGGAGGTTGTCATCTATAAAAATAAAATGACAAGAGAGAGAGAGAGAGAGAGAACAACATCAAGCCTTTATCCCACTACGTGGGGTCGGCTACATGAATCCTTTTTCTCCATTTTGTCATACTAAAAGTCAAATTCTCGTTTAAATCTAATAAAGAAAGGTCATTCCTAATAT